AAGGGAGGTAACTCCAGCTCCACAAGGGAGAAAAAGAAAATAACAATAATTTCCTCCGACTCAAGGGAGGCATTCAAGTTATAATCACGGTGTCGTGGGGGACCTTGCAAACCCTCACGTTCCGATGATTGCGCGCAAGTGGTACGCGAGCACTCGGGCCCATCAGTAAGAAAGATAAGGTAAGATAATAAAATTATGATAAGACATCATAATTAAGCATAATCAGCTCATGCATATTTATTCATGTGTACTTACAGTTATTTTGTGAGATATAGTTCCTACTTGCTGAGCGAAAGCTCAATCAGATATGTTCATGCTGTAGGTAAGAAACCTATCAGCAATTCTTGAAGGGCAATGGCGAGCGGTGGACGAATGGTGGAGATGGGAATGGATACCGCTCACGCAGTTATTTTCCGCAGTAAGTTTAAGAAAAATCATGTATATGTCTATATGATTCAAAAGTTTCAAGTATGTATGTTTAAAAAGTATACGTACATATGTATGTTAAGAAAACCAAGGTTGTAGCTAACAACCCTAGTTTTGAGTATTTAAGTTTTAGAATGTTACAGTACATGCAACAAATAAATGAATTTTAAACATGACGATTTAAATGAGTAATTTTAGAAGGACTTTAAGATGTACTTGAATTTAAGATTTCTCACGAAATCCGTTTTAAAGTCAAATGAGATGGCCGATTGAAATGACTAGTTTTAGAAAAGCTTTTAAAGAGTATTTAAAATAAGAGTTCAAATGCTATTCGATTTGAAGGATATTCCTAAAAGGTTTTATCTTAACTAAAATTAAGAAAAGCTTTAAGAAATTTAGTGATTCACTTATTTGAAATTATTGTTACAAATTATGAAATTATTCCTTCTTATATAAAAAAAAAAAAATGTTCCGCATATTTTAAGAAACCCCAGTAAGTACAAGTTAAAAAGTTAGTAACAGTGGCGGCCTCAAAGGAGGGTCGTCACATGTGTAAAGGTTACAATTTTTTCAACCAAAAAAAATATGTTGTTTTGAACTGGTCATCACAACACTGCTATTAATTCTCTTATTTTTAAGTCCAATTAATGTAATAAAATAACATTTGGCCTTGGAGTTGGAATTTACATATTTTTCTATGAATGATCCGTGAAAGAAGTGAATCACTTTGGCTGAAGATTGCACTTTTCACGCTTTCTTTTTTTCTTTTTTTTCTTTTTTTCCTGAAAATCTGAAACATTGATGTATATGATACGACGAAGGACCAATAGGAATATCTCTCTTTTTTCCTGAAAACTTGTAATGGACCAATAACAAAATTTTCTTGTAATTAGATAAAAACCATCAAATTTCTGGTTCCAAATGCGAACATTTTTAGTCTTGATATTTCAAAAAGTATTTTTTCTTTAAAACAAAAAAAATCCTCTGTCTGTAGTGCATAAAAGGAAGATGGTTGATACTCTTAGCGCAAGATCTTTAATCGGTCATACCAATTTATGCAGTGCAAAAAAAGGAAATTGATTATGGTCATAAGCAACAACAATTTTTTAAGAATTAATTTTATAAATGTGCATTGAACTATGTATCTATGTCATTCAAATTTTGCCTTGAAAAAATGTCTCTCCAATTTTGAAAATGGTTGATTTCATTTATGAAATCGTTCAAAACGTTCAATATGATCAGTCGCTTTTAATTTTTTCTTTTTCAAGCTTTCATGTGACATATGACAATTTTCTTTTAATGTGCAGAGATTTATACTGAACATATATATAAAAATATATAAAATGTAATTCTACCTATATCTTTTCCAGTCAGGAAGAAAAGGGAAAAAACAAAAGAAAAAAAGTTCAGGATCTACTATTATAGCTTGTACAAATGTATATGAGACATTTGGTTCTGATATTGGAACGACAATAGGGACTCCTCTGGGCCTATTGAGCCAGAAAAAAGAATACCCTATTAGTTATTACTTCACTATTTTCTTGTATCCAATCAAAATGCTTCAAATTGAAAATCTCAAATAAATAAAATTGTTTACAATACAGTGTAAAAGTTCACAAAAATTATTTATTCCTCCACTACTTTTAGTTCAAAATTTTGAGTTAAATCAAACATCCTAAAAAATGTTTTTTTGACTAATTCACCCCTAAGAGAGCAGTACTTGGCTTGCTGCAAAGACTTGCCGGCCGGCGGGGTTCTGATGGCTGTTTCCGGAGAAAGTGACATGTCCCCAGGTGGTGGCTTGGGTGGCTCAGGTGTTTGTTGCTCATGTTATACCTCTGTCTGGCTATTTTGACTTTTTTTTTTTTTAAAAAAAAAAGGAAATTGCATTCAATTATAAACTGAGAAACATACTACTCGATACAATGCTAACGACCCATCAAAAGGACAGACGCACACCTAAGGTCTAAAAATGGGAGAACCTCAGCACATTAATAACAAGCACACTTAAGACTTTAACTGAAGATTCTGATCTTTGGTTTGGATACTACTCGATACAATGTCAATGACCCATCGAAGGGACAGACGCACACCTAACGTCCGAAAACGGGAGAACCTCGGCACACTAATAACGAGCACACTTAAGACTCTAACTGAAGATTATGATCTTTTGGTTTGATCCCTAAAGGTTCTGATGTCTTATTAAGGGTTAATGTACTCTTTTTGTAATTATGATTATGGCTGGTCTGATGGTTCTGATGTCTTAGTAAGGGTTAATGTACTCTTTTTGTAATTATGATTATGGCTGGTCTGATCTTCTTTTTAGTTTTATTTTGATGCTGGCTGGAAGTTCGTTCTATATATAATTAATGATTTTACTATGGATTGATCTTTTCTATCTATGTATATATATAGACAAAAGCATTACCCTTTTTTCTTTTTTCTTTTTTTCTCTTTCCAAAAGGCTAGAGAAAAAACATATTGAAATCATGATTTTTTTTCCCATTCTATTTTCTTGTATTTGTACAGTAGGCAATCTATTTTAAACATTCCGGGTTAATACAACCTCATTTTTACATATGGGATTCAATACATTTATGACCTTTCTTTTTCTTACCTCTTCAATATATATGTGGAATTCAGAAAATTACAATTTGCTTTTAGTAAGTTGAGTTTATTTTTTCCTTACTTTTTATTTTTAATTTTATTTAATTTTTTTTATTTTTTATTTTTTTTGGCATATGGTGAGGACTAATATAATTGGGATCTATCGGGGTTCTCTTTATCTTTAAAAAAAAAAAAAAAAAAAAAAAAAAAAAAAAAAAAAAAAATGCTACCCTACTTGCCTTTTTTTAATGCATGGACTTCAAAAAATTGCGACTTCATTTTTAGCATGGGAAGTTTAATGATTTTTTTTTTCCTTTTTTTGCATGTGGCGAGTGCCCACCAAGTTGAGTATGTCAAAATTCTCTTGATGTTAGTTGTCCGCGCTCTTCATTAAAAAAAGAAAAATTGTGATCCCACTTGTCTCTTTGATAAATTTGAAAATTATGAGCCCATTTAATTCATGGGTTTGAACAGAAAAATTAGACAAAAATTTAAATTTTTTAAGATAAAAAAATTTAATAAAAAGATTTAAACAGTAATTCAAACTTATAAAACAAATATAAACTATAATTTTACCTGAAAAATAATTTGAGAAATACCATTAATTTTACTTTTACATGACTATTATGTTGTCAATTGTAAATGTATTAAACTACTCTTACTAATAAGCTATAATTTTGATCAGTCTACCTTTCCGTTTAGCTTTATCTTTGTAACAAATAGAAACCACAGTTGTTTCTTAAATTTTAGCTTAAAACTTTTTTCTTTAAAATTTTTTCTCACAAATACAATTTTTTTTTAATCGAAACATGATATTAAGAACTTAGAATAATGCTTGGTGCCTTAATTTTATTTAGCCAACTTTTTAATATGTGACCATATCTAAAAGGTGCCGCATTAGTACTTCATCAAAATCTCGGAAAAAGGTCTGGTTAGCTAGCTGTGACAACACTGCAATTAATAATTGCGTACTTTTATTTCTTTATAATTAGTATACTTTTTTTTCCCCTTACTTTCGTACCAATCTAACCCTTAAAGAGAAAAAGAAAAAAAAAAAGGAACCAAAAAAAAAAAAAAAAGAAAAAACCCTTACAATCTGACAAATTGCTTTCTTGAATTTTATATTTCATCACAAACTGTCTTTCCATTTAAGAGTTGGACAAAAATACCTTCATTAAAAGCATAAACAGAAACTTCAGAACGAGTGAGCGCATCATGTCACATGCACTGTGCACAAGGCATTTCTTCACAATTTTAACATCCTTCAAATTTTATTAAATTCAAACAGTAATTTATCAAAAATTAAAAGTTGAAAAAAAAAAAAAAAAAAAACTTATCAATTAACCACTAAAAGTTCATGGAACAAATAAAACTCTTTACAATATAATACCAACCAACAATGTAAAAGGCATATTTTATATATGCGTCTAAGAAAAAGGAAAAAATAATACTTGAAAATTCAACAAAAACCTCAGGACTTGCCTTTAGCTCTCACACTCCACAAAGCAGGAAAAACTTATATTTTCCCAAGCCATGGATTTGATCCAAGCTTTCATGAACAATATTTCAGTTCATCATATACTACTCATTTTACTCATTTTGCTTCCTTCAAGTTATCATGTATTTCAGTTCCTTCAGTTTCACCCAAGCATGCATTTGATCCAAACTTTCATGAATATCGCAGTTCCTCCTATAGTACTTATTCTACTCATTTTGTTCCTTCCAATATATCAAGTTTTCAAGCTCATAATTTTTATCAAGAGATCAATATGCAGTGAAAATGTAGCTGGAAAAGTTGTACTCATTACTGGAGCAGCTTCAGGCATTGGCGAGGTTTATACATATATATATATATACACACACATACACACACACACACACACACACACTGTATGTATATATATATTCTTGATATGTAATGACTTTCTTTTCTTTTTTTAACATTTTATGAAGCAACTTACTTATGAGTATGCTGGAAGAGGAGCACTTTTGGCCCTAGTTGACATCAATGAGAACTGTCTTGTACAAGTTTCAAATAAAGCTCACTCTATTGGATCCCCAGATAGTATATCTATTGTAGCAGATGTTTCTAAAGTGGAAGATTGTGAGCGGTTTATCAATGAAGCTGTGAAACACTTTGGGAGATGTAAGTGAAAATCTTGCCTAGTTTTGATAGTACATATCTCATTGTTTTTTTTTTTTTTTTTTTTTTTTCATTCAAGATTTCTCACATTTTAATGACTTTGGCTTTGGATTTTGATGCAAAAGTGGACCATCTAGTTAACAATGCTGGGACAGCAAGATTCAGTAAGTTTGAGGACACTAGCCAAATTTCTGATCACCATCCGGTTATGGTAATTTCAATTTCTACAGAGATTTCATACATCGCTGCTATTGATTGTATCACTATATCCATATGTTTGAATTTGTGGCGCGATTTGAACTCTATACCTTAAGGTGGAGTCTGGTATGAATTTTCGGCTAGATTGTGCTTGCTGACTAATATATACATGGGGTCTCATTAGTTGATGTCGTTTGTTGCTAGGACATTAATTTCTGGGGTACAGTTAATGGCATCCACTATGCAATTCCACACCTGAAGAAGAGCAAAGGGAAGATAGTAGTGATTTCCTCAGTTTGTGGATGGTACCCTCTACCAACACTGTCCATTTACAATGTAATGGACAAAATATACATGCTCTAATTTATATGTCAAACTCATATTTTTTAAAATTTCTCTTCTAGTTTTACAAACCCAAGATGGTTTGCTTCTTTTACCAGGCAAGCAAGGCAGCACTAATAAGCTTTTGCGAGACACTTAGAACTGAACTTGGTCCTTCAATTGGCATAACAATAGTCAAACCTGGCTTAATCAAGACAAATTTGACAAAAAGCCAGGTATTTAGCATATATATACATATATATATATATATATACATAGATGAAACTTGCAACAATAAATTTTATGTTAACTCTAGCTAATGTCATTTGGTGGTCAGGATACTTTAATACCAGTTATTCCAGAAGAGTCAGCTGAAGTATGTGCTAAGGCAATAGTGAGCGGTGCTTGCCGTGGAGACTTGTATGTGACGGAGCCTGCGTGGATTCGGTGGTTGTTTCCGGTGAAAATGGCGTGTCCCGAGGTGATAGACTGGTGCAACCATTTGTACCTGTTGATGATTGAGCATGTATCTGTCAAGAGAAAAGCAGCCAAGGGGAAGACTTCGGGAGGAAAATGAAGCCATTCTTCCCAGCAGGTCAAGGCAGAATAAGATCATAACCAAAAAACATCACAAAAAACATGCATGTATTTATGGTCATGGAGCTAGGCTTTGCTCAAATATTTTTGCCTAGCTTGTGCAAAACAAACAATTATTGATCGATGTGAAAAATAATCGTTATGAAGTTGATCGTGTAATCATTTGGAGCAATTCACATCTAGAAATGCTTCTCTATTTGCATCAACAACATTATTTATCCAAATAGATGAAGATAAAAGAAGTGATGCTAAACTTTACAATTAAGTTTCCAGGTAATGTTCTCAGCCAAAACCTGACCCTGAACTGATGCACATGAATGTGGCAGATTGAATAGGGCCCTTTGTTGGACTTGTCAAAAAAGCTAAAGTGGATAAAAACCCAAAGATAACTCTTTAAAATAAAAAATAAAAATAAAAATAAAAATAAAAAAAACCTATCTTTGGTGGCTTTTTGGTCATTTTCTTTAAAATCTTTTTTTTCCACCATCTTAGTAATGGGTTGTTGACGTGATTCAACAAAGAGTCAATTTTACCAAACATCCGACTTTTCACTGTATTAAGAGGGATTTCACGTTTGGTGTTAGTTGGCTGCAATTAATGCTATAACACCTACCAGCATGAATGTTATTAAATCATATAATCAGAAAGAAAAAAAAAATACCAATAACCTCACTTTACCATAACTCCACACTCCCAAAAAAAAAAAAAAGGAGAACTTCTGTTTCTGCAAAGCATGGATTTGATCTAAACTTTCATGAACATTGCAGTTCCTCCTTCAGTACTCATTCTACTCAGTTTGCTCCTTCCAGTATACCATCTATTCAAGCTCATACGTTTTATATGGAGATCCATTTGCAGTCAAAATGTTGCTGGAAAAGTTGCAATCATTACTGGAGCAGCTTCAGGCATTGGCGAGGTTAATACACACACACATATATACATATGTACACACAATATATATATACATATATACTATTTTACACACACACACACATAGATATATATATATATATATATATGTACGTATGTATCTATGTATGTTGTATTAATGCCAAAATTTGTTGGGTTCTTGATGAATGACCCTTTTTTTAAACATTTTTTGAAGCAACTTGCTTATGAGTACGCTAGAAGAGGAGCACATTTGGTCCTAGTTGACATCAATGAGGAAAGTGTTGTGCAAGTTTCAAATAAAGCTCGTTCTCTAGGATCCCCGGATAGTATACCTATAGCTGCAGATGTTTCTAAAGTGGAAGACTGTGAAAGGTTTATTAATGAAGCGGTTGAACATTTTGGGAGATGTAAGTTGAATTCGTGGCCAGTTTTGATAGTATTTCTCTTGTTATAGATCTTCGAGAGATTTCATAATTTAATGGCTTTTGATTTTGATGCAAAAGTGGACCATCTAGTGAACAATGCTGGGACAGCAAGAGTCATAAAGTTTGAGGATATTAACCAACTTTCTGATCACCGTCATGTTATGGTAATTTCATTTACAAATACTAGATTCCATCACATCTTTTTTTGTTTTTTAGAAAATTGTTAAATTTATCCTTAAAGTGTGAATCTGAATTTTTTTCATCCCTTACTTTTAATTTATACTCTGTTAATATAAGTATTTGACTAAAAATCAATTAAACAAACATCGGTATTTGTCTCCTTTTCGTTCTTTTTTTTTTTTAGTTTTTTACTAAGAGAATATTTCATGTCGACAGCTGTACTCTTTCTAAATTCATATATTGTCTAACATATTTTATCTGGCATAAAATTTATTGCATTTGGTTGATGTTGTTTTTGGTAGGACACTAATTTCTGGGGTACAGTCAATGGCATTCACTTTGCAATTCCACACCTGAAGAAGAGCGGAGGGAAGATAGTAGTGATTTCCTCAGTCTGTGGATGGTACCCTCTACCAGCATTGTCCATTTACAATGTACGAACAAAGAATATAACAAATGGTCGAATTTATATGTCAACGTCAAACTCATATTTTGAATCCTCTAATAAACCCCCATCTTCCAATTGCTTCTTCTACAAGGCAAGCAAGGCAGCACTGATAAGCTTTTGCGAGACACTTAGAACCGAACTTGGTTCGGCCATTGGCATAACAATATTCACACCTGGCCTAATCAAGACAACCATGACCAAAAAACAGGTAGTTAGCAACAAAGTGTGTGTGTGTGTGTGTGTAATATATGATAACAGTAACTATAGAGTGGGGCAGTAGGGCTAACTTTTGCAAACGTTTATGTTTTGGACAGAACATTTTTAGATCACTCGTCCCAGAAGGGTCAGCTGAAGGATGTGCCAAGGCAATTGTGAGCGCCGCTTGCCGCTGAGACCTGTACGTGACGGAGCCTGCGTGGTTCTGGTGGCTGTTTCCGGTGAAAGTGACGTGTCCTGAGGTGATAGAGTGGTGCAACAGTTTGCTCGTAATGATCATTGAGCATATATCTGCCAAGAGGAAAGCAGCCAGGGGAAAGGCAGAATAAGATAATGACCAAAACTTCATAACAAGCATATCTACGTTTGGTCATGGAGCTAGCCAGAATATTGTTTGCCTCTGCAAAACATAAATATTGATCAATGTAAAAGTATTGGTTAAGAAGCTGGTGTAATGATTAGGAACAATTGACATATAAAAATGCTTCTCTAATTAGACTGAATAGCATTCTTCCAATTATAGATGAGGATAAAAGCGATGTTAAATCTATAGAAACAAAAATCAACCCACTTTTTTGTTAAAAGTAATGAAACAAACAATTTGAAAGAGGACAAACGCTTTAGACAAGTGGAAGTTTGGACCATACAAGTTGCTATAAGACACTATGCATAGGAACTTTGGCAGATTGAATTGAATAGAGCCCTTTGTTGGACTTGTCAAGGAAGCTAAAAGTGGATAAAAACCAAAAGATAAAGCTCTCCTCCTACGTGTCGTTTCCTTTCCATGCAAAGATGCTACGTGGCTAACTTCACTTTACATTAAACATTTTTAAAAAATAAAAAAGAATAAAATAAAATACACCCAGAACGATGACACTGCCAAATATATCTGTTGTCTCTCTCTTTCTCTTCAATCTTTGTTTTGCAGGGAAGCCACTAGCCAGCCATGGATTTCATCAACAGTGTAACGAACATCATAATTCCTTCTATTTCTCTAACATTGATGCTTTTCTTTCTCCCTCCATATCTCTTCTTCAAGTACCTCTTCTGCACCGTAAGACCCATCTTCAAGGACGACATGTTGGGAAAAGTAGTGCTCATCACTGGAGCATCCTCTGGGATTGGCGAGGTTGGCAAAGCTTAATAACAACTACCAAGCTTGTTTTGATTGAAACCCAAGTTTCTAAACTTGTTTTTCTCTGTTTTTTGATGGATTTTGTGGCTTTGATCGAAAGCGAATGGCGTATGAGTATGCTAGAAAAGGAGCTCGTCTGGCCCTTGTCGCGAGAAGAGAGAACCGACTCCAATCGGTCGCCAGCATTGCCACATTGCTAGGCTGCAAAGATGTCATCACTATTCGAGCAGATGTTTCCAAGGTTGAAGATTGTGAGAGGTTTGTCTATGAAACGATCAACTACTATGGACGATGTAAGTGAAAAGGAAAAACTTTGCTGGGTTTTTCTCTGATTTATATTTGTATTTAGATTATGGAGTGGTTTTGGAAGATTAGTGTTTTTTGTAGCAATGAAAAATATGCGTTTTGTGGTGACAGTGGATCATCTAGTTAACAATGCTGGGGTGGCTCCAGTCTGCATGTTTGAAGAGTCCCCTGATATTAAAAAGTTCACACAAGCAATGGTAATTCATTTTCCAAAGCATAACTTTTTATTTTTTATTTTATTTTATTTTATTTTTTTCCTACAAGATCTCAAAGATTCGAATAAAGTGAATTAATTCAGCATTGTTGGAGTAGGACATAAACTTCTGGGGTTCAGTGTATGCTACATACTTTGCAATTCCATACCTTAAAAGGACCAGAGGAAGAATAGTGGTGATTTCTTCTGCTGCCTCATGGTTACCTGTCCCAAGACTTGGTATCTATGGCGTAAGAAAACCCCTCAAAGTTGCTTTGACTTAAGGTCTTTGTAGAATATTAGATTGTGGTCACATCTTAGTTTTTCGCAATTTTCTTCAGGCTTCAAAAGCAGCAGTGACGAGTTTTTATGAGACATTGAGAGTTGAAATTGGGAGAGACGTTAGAATAACAATTGTGACTCCGGGGTTAACCGAATCAGAAATGACCCTGGGCAAGTTCCTAACCGGGCGAGGCACCTTGGAACTTGGCCAAGAATTGAGAGATGTAAGGTCTTCCTTTCTATGATCAACAATACCATTTTTTATTCTTGTGTGATTTCCACTTTAGCAATCAAATTTATCAAACCACCAGCAAACAATACTGATCTATGAATGCTAATATATAGTAACTTAACACCACGATATATACAGATGAAATTGGTGCTCTTAATTGCCATGTAATAATCATGTGGCAACATTCCAATCATAAATCCATTCAATATGATGATTGCAGTATCCTCATGCATTTGATCCTACATTACATGTCAATGAAACTTGTGCCTAATCTAACATTTCGGCATGATTATAGTTTGAACTTGGTTCACCAAATGCTTACCTGATTGATGGGCAGGTTGTAATGAGCATGACGCCGGTAATGTCTGTCAAAGAGACTGCCAAAGCCATTGTCGAAGGTGCATGCCAAGGTGCCTATTACTTGACAGTACCAGCTTGGATAAAGCCCACATTTCTGTGGCATGTATTTTTTCCTGAGGTGTTGGAGTGGTGCAATCGCTTGCTGTTGATGCCGGGAATGGGGTCCACAGATAGAGAAACTGCTAGCAAGAAGATTGTAGAAGCATTAGCCACAGTGAGGCACTACCTACGACCTGGGACAGTTGATTTTCCTGAGCTGAGCAATGAACACTGAGATTACCCACATTCATATGACTAAGAAATAGTTTGTCATCTCCACTTGTGTCTATATGAATTGCGGTCCCATAAGCTAACTCTTGTCACTGATGGTCCGATATGCATGGTCATGAAGTTTATTTTATAAATCTTGATTCATTTTCCATGTAAGAGATGGTACAGGGAATTGGAGGAACAATCGTTAAAAACAACATACCATGTAAGTGTAACAACTGCAGCTCAAGTGGGTGTCTTTATCAGCTACACCCACAAAGTGAGAGTTCCCACTGATACTGATTGGTCTTGAACATTTTCACGTCAAACATAATCTATACGCCATGATTAGTAAGGTAAGGCTAAAAGGTGAACCCAGCAGTCACAGGATCATGCAATGTCGATTCCAATAATATCCTATAAAGTGACTCTGTCTAATCAGGCTTGTTCTCCTAGAATTAGCTAAAATCTCAGCTCAAGCAAGCGGGGATTACCACAAAAACTGCCTCAGCCGCAACTTTTCATGTTTTCCCAATTTCCCTATCCAACAGAGATTAGGATCCATGACTAAACAGGATCCTTTAACCGAGAATACCCGCAAATTGATCTCCATTCTTCTCAACATGCAACCTTTCATATCTTCCAAGATGTAGCCGTACATAAGTTGAATCAATTAAGAGGATACATCAATGGGGTCTATGAGAACAGAGAGAGACTCTTATGTTTGTGCTAGAATAGAGGACCTGAATCTTCGCAACAGCAACTGCGCATCGGATTCAGAACAGCCCTGGTTCATCTCTAGAGCAACTGGAAGAGGAGAGGCTTCATTTATCTCTATAAGCATTTTCCCCTAAAAGCATGACATAGCCAAATAATGAGGGAACAAATATAGGTGCCACTAATCTTTTCGAAGATGTCGAAGGGAGTTAAAAAAATAAATAAAAATATAAAAAATTGGCACTAAATCCCAGAAGCATAGCAAAATGTCAAGAGTCGTTATTACCTCAAATTTTGCTAGAAAGCTTTGGAACTGCCTCATTGTCTCCCTGATATTTTGAGCTGTTGTCGGGTCAGAAGAAGAAAGAGCGGCCGTTACCTCCCGTGGAGAATGACCTATCATTTTCTGTATAGCCTGGGAGCACGAAAGAGCTCGGCTAATCAACATATCAAATAGCAACTGGTCAACAATCTCCTAGCGTCTAGTTGAAACTCCAACGTGTACTTACATCATGATGAATGACAATCTCAGAAATGAGACTACCGTCATCGACATAAGCCTGAAGCTCAAAGGTTCTGTCCTTATACTCGAATCGCTTCACGCCGGTTAAAAAACACTGCAATGTTGTATTCACAATTCAGAATCATTACCATTACAAAAAATTATCATAATAAATATAAGTACCACATGTAGTAACGTCTTATACCTTGATCTGACAAGGATAAGTACACAGATAAGACACTAAGGAAAGAAAGAAAAGAAAACACTGCACACCTTAACTATTCCTTTAACAGAACGAACACTTTTTTTCATTGCAGTCCACTTGGCTGACAAACTAGCTAAGTAAGTAAATGGGATTTCCCGGTTCCCAGATAGTATTAGTGGATGTTCAAACTCATCAACCAAAGGGATTTCCTCGTCATTTAAAACGTCGTTGGGATATGTATCAGACATGGGATTGTCCGTTCTACTAGGAATCAATTCCATATCAATTTCCTCCGCTATTGAAGCAACATCAGTCGATGAGTTGGGTGCAATATTAGCTCTGCTATTAGGAATAGTATCCACAAGGACTTCTTCCTCTACCGTACTAAAGACGACATAGGGTGCCTCTTCTGCACCAGTGACAACTTGAGGTGATTGATTAGGAATGGCACTTTCTGTGCTTACAGGAATAGGAAGTTCGTCCACATCCATAATGACACTAGTTGATGAATTGCGAATAGCACTTTCTTCACTACTGACACCAGGAAACTCTCCCCCAACTCTTTGATCAGCATCGGTACTAAGTGCAACATAAGTAGAACCTACAGTTCAGCAATAATGTTACAAGAAAACTTCAAAAGCAAAAATAGAGGTATAACCTAATGTACGAGACATATAAAAAAAATGTAAATACGGGGATCTTCTTGTTTTCATACAAAAACAGTAGTAGCTTTCTTATCCAAAAATACTCACCCAAATCTACATTCTAAAGAATTCTCAGGTCTCAAACTCGCAGTTGGCCTGATGCTAGTAATGTGCAGGATTCCTTATGAGTCTCCAACATTAAGTAGGTGTCTCATGAACTTAATCTCTAGAGTTATTCAATGGAACTATAAGTGCATAGGAACTCTTTGTTTCACGCTTCAAACAATCTTTCTGAACAATATACATGGAAGTGTGCTTGTATATTACCTTGGTTGTGCACCCGAATGGGGGTTGTGTGCTCAGATGTCATATTACTGATGTTTCCAGCTACATGAGCGCTGTTAGATGGCCATGCAGCAAGAGTTGCTCTAGTCCTTAAAGGAGGAACTACTCCGCCCCTGGTTCTGCATAACAACACAAAATGTCAATATAACAGTTGAATTATAGGAGTGAAACAATTGACATCTCTAACATACCTTATTCCCCTAGGAAGCTTATTTACTTCATCAACAAGCTGCTGTCTTGCTGCTTCCAATTCCTCAACTACTCCTCCTAAAACTTCAAAGGCCTCAGGGACCAATATAAGAAGTCCATGTCGTATATGCACATTACAGATGACAACCTACAACTCATGAGGATAACCTGTTTAAGTCAGAACATGAACCTTTACTCCGGAAAAAAAAGGGGGCTAGCATGATCAGATTTTTCTTACTTGGCAAGAACGAAATGGAATTGAGAAGGGTAGAATGAAAAATTTTATATAAAAAAAGAAAAAGAAAAGAAAAAAGAGCCGCAATTAAAAGCAATGTTCGAAATGGGAAATTATTTCATAAAAAAAAAAGGGAAATTACTATATGTCAGCTTAAGTAATCATAATATATTTTATCTACCATTTTAAGGAAGAACATTGGCTGCACTCCAATAAAAGTTCTATTCTAAACGCCATATACCTTCAAATTCAGGTCAAAACACTATTATACGTACGTTGCTGGTACTATGGACACAGGCATCCATAGATTGTTTTATTCGAAAACTTATAGTACGCCATTGTGTAAATGAACTGGCTTCACGTCATACTCTCCAATGAAGAAACTAGACTAGTATCAGTGATTATCTAAAATTCTAAATAAACTTAAGCTAGGATAAACCTTCAATCCAGCAGGAGCCAAAGCGTCAAGATCCTTAATAGGTCTGTATTCCATTCCAAATACACGCTGTAAGCCGTCCGTCATCGACAACTTGAGGCATCTCTTGATACCAGGAGGTGCCTTCTGATACCTGCCCTTTAGAGGATTACTTATGTTAACAATCTCATCAACCTGCATAAAAGGGACCCAATATGAGAACAGAAAAAAGTTTAGTTGTTAAAGAGATTTCGCTTGCAGAGGCACACTCTGATAAAACAGCCAAAATGAAAGTTGCATTTATTTCATATTTTTCAGTGTTTGTACTGCCCAAATCTCCAAGTAAATATCTAAAATTATATGAAATCAAATGACTTCGATAATTAATTTGCAAATAATTATACCAACCAAGTAAAAATCTGATTCCAATCCTCTGAGCTTTCTAAACTTTCCGAGCTTCACTTAAACAAAGCAAGATCAAGTTTTTACTCCAATTCCATCAAAGACATTTTTTTCATTCAAAATAAATTTGAAAATGTAAGAATCCAACAAAGAAGTTCACAAAAAAAAAAAAAAAAAAAAAAACCCCCCTTTTTTTTCAAATTTTTTTTTCTAAAATTAACACAAAACCCCAAACCAAAAAAAAAAAAAAAACCCCTCTTTTTTCAAACTTTTCGTTCATCAATTGAACGCTAACCTGCAACACAAACGGTCCGGGTAGATCAACCAGATGAAGTCGATCAACATTCTCGGGAAGCACACCGCCGCCGGAGCGATTCATATCAGAGACCAAAAACTTCTCGAAGCAAAGCTTCGCCTTGGCATCAACTCCGAGGCCGCCAAACCCCGGCACCGCCTGCTCAAGTCCCCGGACACAAAAATCGAGCCATTCTCTCTTCAGCCCCAACCCTAGCCCCCAAAGAATATCGCTTATCGGACAACCACCGGAGCTCGGCGGCGGCGGCGGCGGAGGAGGAGGAGAATTAGGATTAGGGTTAGGATTGGGAGTAGGAAGCGACGGCGGTGAGAGATTGTCGGAGACATCGATGAAATCTTCGTCGTCGGAGATCTCGAGAAGCTCGACGGAGGGATTGGGAGTGGTAGGGTTAGGGTTTACGGAATTGCGTGATTGTGAGAGGATTAATGGCGGCTGGGGCTGAGATTCTTGGTGGTGGCGTGGGTGAGGCTGATTATGGGGTTCGTCGTCTTCGTCGGAAGACGAGCTCAGAACGAGGCGTCGCGGGAGCATTTTGGTCAGAGGAGCTTTCGCGAATAGTTACTGATTTTTTTCTTTGGTTGTGGAATTTGTTAAAATTTGAAGATTTTGAGGAGGGAAGAAAAAGGCGAGGTTGAAGACGCTGATTGCATATTTGTCGTTTTTGGGAAACGACGTATAGTTTATTGTTACTAACTAAAAACCGTTTAAAAAAAAAACGCCATGTGACGATTCGTATTAGTCGGTCGTATTTGTGTCAACTCGTTTATTAATCGTATTAAAAAATATCAACTCAAACACGACATGTTTATTAAACGTGTCAAGAATGTCAATTCAAACACGACTTATTTATTAATCGTGTTAATCGTATCAACTCGTATAACTCGTTTGAATTAATATAATGAATAAATAACTAATATAATAATAACTTATTTAATACTGTCAAGACAAGTTTAACATGTTTATTAATCAATTTATCTTTTCATTTAACAAAAATAAATGAATTTTACCTACAAATATTAAAATTCACATTATTTGTATTTAATATGTCATATAAACTTTCATGTTATATCACATATCATTATATTGTAAATGACACATATAGTTAACGTGTCAATTCGTGTCACTTTGTGTTAGGAAATCAACCTATTTATTAATCGTGTTAATCGTATCAACCTGATTATGACTCAAACTCATTTATAGTAAATCTAAGGGCCCGTTTAGTTCGTTGATTCGAGTTTTTAATTCGAGTTGAGATATAATTTTATGTGAGAGCTTTTTACTGTAGCAAAAAAGTTAGATGTGACTGTTTCTGAGAGCTTTTTACTGTAGCAAAACTCGAATCGGTGAAATGAACAGGGCCTAAATCTACTAATTTCACACAAATTTTGAGTCGTGTCGTCATATCGTTATCTGAATTGTCATCCATCAATATCTTATCATGATACTCGATGGTAGTCTACTGTTTTTTTTTTTTCTTTTTTTGAGCAAGTAGTCGACTATTATTCAATATTGTAAAAATGCTTATTTCAGCTTTACAAGCATTTTTTTTCGAAATTGCCCTTATTAAATATTTTTGGCATGTTACGTATATAGTTAGGTTTTTTTTTAGTCTGATTTTTTATTATTATAATTTAGATTTATTTTCTTTTTTTGGCTCGAATTGTTTTTTTGTAGTCAATGATTATGATCTTATTCTGATTTTTTTTTTCACGGTATATGCTTTTCTGCCCCTTTTAATTTTTGAATTGGGTGGTGTACTGGTGTGTCCCTTTTGTTCCTTCATTTGTGTTATTCTTTTGGGAGATCAGACAAACAAAAGCTTTGATTTGTTGTCTATTAGGGGAGTTTTGGACATTCATCTTTTAGGATATCAAAGGGAAGGTTTGGTTTGTTGTATATAAGGCTAGGTTCGGTGTACTTTTTTCTCTCATCATTTTTGCTTTTCTTTTTGGGAAATAGTAAAAAATAAGTCAATATGAAAAACTTAAGAAAGTATATAGGTTAATTTTTAGTTATAGAAATTAATAGGTCATAACTTGTCAAGTTATAGTTCATAATCAGATAAGTTATGGATAAACTTATCAAGTTATGGTTCATAGTCAGACAAGTTATGGACAATTATGAATAATAACTTGTCAAGTTATGATTCATAATCAGACAAGTTATGGACGAAAACAATAATTTAACTTATTTATTAACTTATGTAAACTATTAATCTATTAATTTTAATTCATATTAAATATTGACATATTTTTCTCTTTCTCTCTGTCTTTTTTTGGTGTTATTGCTGGTTTATATTGTTGTTGTTTTGGTAATAATTTATAGTTTGATATTTGTTTCCCGTTTTTGCTTTTACTTTGCATTTTTCTCGGTTATTTCTTCCTGTTTTTCCCTCCGCTTTTACTTCTTGTTGTTTTGGTTTATATTGTTTCCCGTTGTTTTGGTTTATATGTCTTCTTCTTCTTCTTCTTCTTCTTCTTCTTCTTTTTGTTTTAATTCTAATTTTTTCAGATCTTATCATTGAAGAGATGAGATGTTTTTTTTTTTGGTTGATTTTTTCGTGAATAATTTATATCTCATTATGATATAGTCATTATTTTAGTCTAAATGTTTTTTTAGTTGGTTTTTATGTATGTATTATGTTTCATAATCATTTGTTAGGTATTCTGTCTCATAATAATTTCATTGTTAAAATAATGAAAAATATTTGTTCTTCTTTGTATCACATATTTTTCTCATGTTCATATATAATTTCAATTTGATATTCATTTTCTTAATGATAACTGTTTTTCATTTGACATAGTTTTTCATTTGACTGTTTTGGTGTAATGGAGGCGGATGTGTTTTGTCTCATAATGATTTCATCGTTAAAATAATGAAAAATATCCATATTTTGTATCATAATTTTTCCTTATTTCATATGTAATTTAAATTTAATATTCATTTTCATAATTATGACTGTTTTTCATTTGACATAGTTTTTAATATTTTTTGGTGCAATGGAGGCGAATGTGTTCTGTCTCATGATGATTTCATCGCTAAAATAATGATAAATATCTATTCTTTGTATCATATTTTTTCTGTGTTTCATACGTAATTTGAATTTGGTATTTATTTTCATAGTGATGATTGTTTTTTTGAGCAGGGCATGGGTGCAAAGAAGGGCTTTTTTTTCCAGAGAAATATGGCCAACGGTTTTAAAATTTTTGGTGTATTCCCCTTTTTTGTTTTTTGTTTTTTTGTAATAGAGAAACTTTCCTTTTCTTAAAAACGACCACATTTCATTAAATATTAATTCCATTTAATTGTTGATTTTTTTTAATTGCTGATTTTGTTGATTTCTTACCTATTTTGTTCTTTAATCATTTTTTCCCTTTTTTCGTTATATGAAGATATAATTGTGTTTATATATATTAGTCGATAGTGTTATAAATAAATAAAAAAGTCAGCATTTTTAGACAAAAAGTGCTCCAAATCGGCATTTATGTAAATAACCTTGATTCGTATGTTAACAATTTTTGTCCATAACTCCTAAAGTAATAACTTTGAAAAAAATTAACAAAATTATCTACGAACGTATCACACTATAAGTTGAAATTTCACAAAAGCATTTACTTAAAGGGTACATAATTAGATTTTATTGGGTTTTAAAGCACAATAAGAAAAAGTACACATACCTTATATAACTGATTTTATAAATTTTCACACGTTCTTAAACCACTCCTTATTCTACTTATTACACCCCTTAAAATTTCAAAAAAAAAAAAAATTCCCTGCAATTAAATTTAATTGTTTTTCCCTTTTCACCTTCTCACCAATCAAACATATCTTTTTTTTTTTTTAACAACCGTTTTCCTTTTTAAAAAACTGATATCTTTTCTTCGCGGAGGCGGCCAATTTCTCATGAACATTTCTCGCTGCAACCTTTTTTTCGCGGCGTTCTTTTAGGCTCTTGGGCTCTCGGCTATCAAACATGGCTCTTCATCTTCATGCAAGACTTCTCTTCCTGATCGGAGATATCTTGTCGTTTTTGGATGCCTATACTCCATTACCAAACATCTATTTTTAGCCAAAGAAGAATAATAATATATTCTTAGTCTCATCCATTGCATGGACACGAGTTACAGAATATATTCTTGCAGTTAGAAAGTTGCAACCATATCCTGATATCCATTTAATCTTCAATCTTCATGTCCTGCTAAAAGATGTCGTTTTTCGCCGTGACTAATTGGACCGCAAAATGATGTCTGCAAATTTAGGATGGGGGAAAACGGAAAGGTCAGAAAGTGTTAATCATATTCACTCTCATACCACCACTATTGCATATATATTGGTCTCAAGCAACTTCCACTGAATCGGTTCTTTGATCTTTCTCTCTGTCAAAGGCCTAGAGAGGGAACCGGAACCGCCAATTTTTCATGTTTTAGGCGTCTATGTGGAGACCAGCACTAGTGATATTTGTGTAATATTTTGATATTGGCTAAAACAATGTTAAATTTCTTTGAAATAATGCATTTATACTATTTTTTTTTCCCTATATCAAGCTCAAAATAATGTGGTAAAACAAAAAACAAAAAAAAGACGTCACAGTCTGATGCTAATTTCCAACTAGGTATGCTCTTAGTATATCATACTGTCTATTGAAGTATCATTTCACTCTTTTAAGGCACGTTCAAAATGTATACTCAAACCATGATTCTTAATTCTTATGTTTTAAATTTAAATTTTTTGTGAAAGGAAAACACTATAACAGAATTAATAATTTGAGTTTGAGTATATGAAACAAACGGACCTTTAGACCTCATAACTTGTTTGGTTTGGCATGCGGTCCATTACCATATTTCCTGATATTTTTTGTTCTCTTATAAGCAAATAACAACTTTGGTCTTTTAACATACGCATTCCATACCAACTCCTTTAATTTAAAATAAAATAAATAAATAAATAAATAAATAAAACGCCCTTTATTACAAGCCAAAGACACCAATTTGTGTCATGATATGAGAAAGAAACTACATGCCTTAACTGTCACCGTGACGAAACCAACATACACGATATCAACAACAGACCACAACATAATGGGAAACAAAAAGAAAAAAAGTAAAATAACTGATCACTGATGAAACCATGGACACAAGACATCAGAACACACACAAATGATTCAAGACAACCGAATTTGGAGTTCAAACTCCAAATTAGATAGTGTTGCAACAAGTTGGTGGAACAAATTGTGCAATAGTTTGAATTTTGATTGAGTTTTGGAGATAGACTTGCATGCTGCTCTTTATAGGTCTCAACCAGTTGTGAGTTAAAGTGACCTGGAGCATCTACACATGCAGTGAGTTGAGAGTTTGATATTCTACGTTTTTCAAGAGAAGAATGTGAAACTTTCAGAAAAGAGTAATCTACCAAATAAAGGGATTTCATGGTGTAGAATTTGAAGACAAGTAGTGCTCGCTGAATAGATCCAGTTAATTATTACAAGACCTAGACAACAATTACAAAAGAGAGTCTTTAGATTGTATAAGTCCATTGTTGATTGTAACAGAGTTAATTATTATATTGTTTAATAGCTAGGCATG